CCTGGATTCCCTGTATTTTCAGTTCCTATCTGTACCAGTGTACCTCCTCTGGTCTAGCCAGACTTGCAAGATCAAATTCGAGTCATGGTAGTGGGAGCAGGGAGGAACCATTTAGGAACTAGAGGAAAGTTGTATTTTTCATCGTTGTTAAATCGCACCCTGACTGGCTCATCTCCTCCCCGAGACCCCTCTGCAAGGGGATCTCCAGTGTCAGGCCCATTTCTTAAGAAGAAATGTTGTAAAGAAAGACTTGCAGCCTCTGGGTTCTCTCCCCAGTCCTGTTCGTCTCTGTCCCCAGAGGAGAATACCTGCTGTCCTCAAATCAGTGCCCATCCTATGGGTCTTCAAAGCAGCCTTAGATTGTAGCCCTCGTGCTGTGTGTGAATTGGTAGCATTCCGTAAGGAGAGAGAACACAAAGCGTGGTGCGTGCCACAGCCGTGCCAAGCACTCCCTTTCAACAAGCCTGGTTTGCGTATTGCCCTCCTCGTTTGACAGCTGCACAGAATCACGTTCTCGTGGTCACGGTTAGTAAGCTAAGGAGCCAGCACAGAGCTAGTCTTTGACCCCGTGTTTCTCTGACTCTCCCAAGAGCTGATCCAGTTGATTCATTTAAAATCACTGCTTAACATTGTGGGAAAAGCATTCCACATTTTTAGGTCACTTCCACTTATAGTATTACAGTACTGTAATAAGTTTCCTTGAGCAAATTTGGTGTGTGTTACCAGTGTATATACCTAAAAGTGGAAGAGTGGTCTTGCTAGGTCGAAGGAGCTTGTCAGCATTGCTGGATTTTGTTAAATCGCTCATCAGTGTACCAACTTGATACTCAGTTAGTAGTGTTGGAAAACTCTCATCTCTAAGTCCCAGCTTTTATTATGATCTACCTTAAAATGTTTTGTGCCATATGTAATAGTCTTCCATTGTTTTAATGTATATGTTTACCCCGGTGGTGTAGTGAGTTATGCATGGGGCTGCTAGCTAACCACAAAGTCAGCAGTTTGAAACCACTAGCCACTCCTCGTAAAGGTTCACTGTCCTGGAAACTCACAGGGCCAGTTCTACTCAGCCTTGTACGGTTGCTGTGAGTCAGAATTGACTCATGAAAATAATATAAAGCTTAACTGGCCACAGCACCCTTGCAAAGATAGGTTATTAAGATGATCACATCAGTTATCGCCCAATTTGGAGTGCTCTGAGGAGGAAGGACGCTGACCAGATAGGATGTGGGGACAGCAGCTATAATTGGGAGTATCCCAGGCAAGCAGGGACAGACCTAGGTATGAAATATATTCAGCCAAAAATTCAGCATGGCTCAAGTTGTAGTATTTCCTGCCAGATTATTTTAAGACAGAGGCAGCTGTGAAAATGTTAGTCTGGATTTTGGTTTTCTTAGATGTCACGATGATGTCTTTCTCCTAGATTAAGGTGACTGTCGCAGGTCTGGCTGGAAAAGACCCAGTGCAGTGCAGCCGAGACGTTATCATTTGTCCTGATGCCAGTCTCGAAGATGCAAAAAAAGAGGTTTGTCCTCCTTACTTGGAATTATTCCTTAATAGAGCTTACTTATTAGTGCTAATTTCCTGAAATACCATCTGCCTATAGCTAAGGCTTTTGTGCATGCAGATTTATTTTAAGAAAGCTAGTTTTTGTAAATGCCTTCCCTACTCAACTAAGGCTTGGGAGGGTGAAGGCTTTAACTTCTCTGGCCCTGAGTCCGTAGGGGGTAATGATTGCTTGACACAGCACGTTGGGTAGATGCGGATGGGTGGTTGAATGAGTGGGTAGATATTTGGGAGGGTTGGAGAGTAGACAGGGTGGGTGGCTGGCTGGCTGAATGAAGGAATGAGTATTTGGGAAGGTAAAATATTTGGGAGGGTGGGAAGGTAGACAGGAGTGTAGGTGGATGGTTGAATGCAGGGGTGTGTACTTGGAAGTTGGGAGGGTAGATAGGAGTGTGGGTGGATATGTGGTTGGATAGAAGGATACATGAATGACTGGGAGGATTGATGGTGTTCTTTCATCATTCTTGTGGCTACACAGACAGCCTTGTCTGCTGTTACACCAGTTACTTTATGTAAGAGAATAAATAACCACATTTGCTATTATTAATTTCATATCCTTTGTTCTAAATCTGCCTTTTTCACATCCCTTTTCAATGGCAGACATAATTCTGGGACTCATTTACATGGAATAATTCCTACTTTATTAGTGATTGGATTAAGGGAGGAGTAAGTTGTTCTTAAATTGTGTAACTTTTCCAGTGTCTTTAGAATGACCATTCTCAACCTGTGAGCCCTGGTGGTGAGTGGTTACGCATTGGCAGGCCAGCAGGGGAAGAGCACACTGTTCCTGGGGAGAGAGAGGAGCCTTTTAGCTCCTGTCAAGAGTTTGAGTCTTGGAAACTCCCCAGGACAGCTCTACTCATAGGGTCACTGTGAGTCGGAATGGATTCAGTGGTGCTGAGTATGGTTTGGGGTTTTTAACTTTTGAGGATGGCAGATACCTTTGGGACCCTGTGAAGAAAGCATTGGGTCCTGTTCTCTAAAAGCCTGCCTGCCCAAACGTGCTGCCTTCCACTACCTGTTCACAGGAGGATGGGTGGATGGATGGTAGGTAGGATAGCCCTGTGGTGAGGTCAGTGTGGATGGAGCACGGTCCTCAGAGAGCTGTTTCACTGAGGAGCTGGGTCCTCTGGCTGGAGCATCATGCCTTTGCTGAACTGACTGTCAGAATGCGTGGGGACAGCTGCCTCCTTCCTAACAGAGTCCGCCCGGTGTTCCAGTGCTGGATAGGGAGTTGGTGGACAGGCACGGAATATAAGGGGTGGGAACTGTCCAGTGGTGTGCTAGAGGTGAGAACTGGGAGGTCAGACTCCGCCTCTGCTTGTTTTGGGTCCCAGGAGACTGGATATTTTAGAGCAGTGGTTCAACGATAAATCAAGAGATTTATCGTTCAGTTAGATGTTAAAAGGAGTGAAAGCAATTTGGGACTTCACATATTTTCAGTTTCCCTTGCCTTTAAAACAATAGTAAGAATCTAAAAATTAAAAGTTGCATTAAATTTCACACCACCACCATGGAGTTGATTCTGACTCATAGGGGCCTTGTAGGATTGAATCAAACTTCCTTGTAGGGTTTCAGAAGCTGTAAATCATTGGTTCTCAACCTTCCCAATGCTGTGGCCCCTTAATACAGTTCCTTAATATGTTGTCGTGGACCCCAACGATAAAATTTTGTTTGTTCCTACTTCATAACTAATTTTTCCTGTTATGAATCTTAATGTAAATTTTAATATGTTTTCCAATGATGTTAGGTGACCCCTGTGAAAAGGTCATTCAATAAACCCCCCAGGGGTCGGGACCCACAGATTGAGAACCGCTGCCGTAAATCATTATAGAAGCAAGCTGCCATGATTTTCTCCTGAGGAGCAGCTGGTGGGTTTCAACTGCCAACCTGTTGGTTAGCAGCCAAGTGCTTTAACCACTGTGCCACATGGCTCCTCTGTTACATTAAGTGCCCAAACCCACACTACAGTTGAGTCTGTTCTGACGCCGAGCAACTGAGTAGGACAGAGTAGACCTGCTCCTTAGTTTCTAAGACTGGAAATGTTTACAGGAGCAGACAGCCTCATCTTTCTCTGCAAGGGCGGCTGGTGGGTTCGAACAGCTGGCCTTGTGGTCAGCAGCCTACCAGGGCTCCTGTTGCAGTAAATTGGTACAAAATACTTATTTTACAATTTGCTGAATGACTGAAACTTTTTCAGTTTCTCAAAAGGGTTTTAAACCAGTTGCCATTTTTTTTTATTTCAGCAAGCTTGAAATAATGATAGATTACTAGGATTTTTTAAAATACAG